TGGTAAACTGCTTCTCCCAACAGTGACAGGGATCTGATCTAGTCCTTATTCTCAGCAAGCACACACTGAAATATTTAGGGGTAAAGGATTGACTCAACATCAAATGATTCAAAAAGATGATCATGATGATGTGTGTATGTGTGTGTGTGTAGGAGAGAGAGGGAAAACAGAGAAAGCAAATGGTGAAGCAAATTGATAAAGCAAATTTACCAAAATAAACTTAAAAAAAGATCTTGCATCTCTTTACATTTATTATACAAACACCCCCTTTACTCCTCACCAAATTATAACTGTGGTAACAACAATTATTTGTTAATCACAAAACTTGTTCTATTTCCACAGTCTTCCTCCCTTATTTGAAAATATCTAGCCACATTTCCATATGTCTGAACAAACATTATGAGACTGCTGAACATACTGCTAGCTTTACCCTGGGGGCGGGGTGGGGTGCACTTTGAATCAGTTACTACTGGAAAAAAAGAATCCATTAATTTTGAGAACTGGGTAAAAATAAAAATCTCTTTATCTAGAAATAACAAGCATAAGAAGTATTGCCAAAAAAGTGTTGCTTTTCTTTTGAAAAGTTGGCCAAGTCATAGATGAATTGAGGACAAGCAGGCAGAACAAGATAAGGGTAAAGAACAAAGGGAAAGGGCCGTGTGTGGTGGCTCACGCCTGTAATCCTAGCACTCTGGGAGACCTAGGCAGGTGGATTACTTGAGGTCAGGAGTTCGAAACCAGCCTGAGCAAGAGCAAGTCCCCGTCTCTACTATAAATAGGAAAAAATTAATTGGCTAACTAATATATAGAGAGAAAATCAGCCAGGCATGGTGGCGCACGCCTGTAGTCCCAGCTACTCGGGAGGCTGAGGCAGCAGGATTGCTTGAGCCCAGGTCACAGATTTGCTAGGTGACTTCCTGAAAAAATTATAATTTAAAAAACTGTTAGCAAAAATGGAAAACTGATGGTAGAGAATAGTATTATATCTATATATCTAATGTATGTATCTAAATATTATATCTAAAATCAAATGTCAAATCTATGAAAATGTATAACTGTACTGTGGTAATTGTCAGAAAAGAAGCCTGGCCTTACGAAATGGTGGGGGTTGCAAAACTCCAAAGGAGATATGTTAGCAAGCGAGCAGGTTGGCTTGTCACAATTCGATGGGTGCCAAAAATAGACGATGTGACTCAGTGGACCAGAGAAAACCATTTGTTACTCACAGCAGAGCAAATAGCAGGAGCATCAACGTGGTAACGCTAGCTCCCTTGCCTTTATGTCTCATGATGTGACACAATGAACCCGGATTGCTGCTACATACACAATGGGCTGCACCGCAGTCGAGGAGCTCAGAGCTAAGGGTTCATCATCTTTTGTAGCAAGCAATAAACAAACCAGTCCTCCTACCCGGAAGCCAGAGTCAGAAAGTCGCCATGCTGTGGCGCTCATTTAGTCAAGCAGTTAAGGTTCTTAATTGACTGTATGACTAGCTGTGGAAACAACCCAGGGTCAGAAGATAATGATGTCTTGCAGTCCAGCTCAGTCAGCAAGAATGGGCAGAGATGCTCAGGGGCCTGCTTCTCCCAGTAATTCACAGGTCAGCCCAGCATATTCTTGGCTGAACTTAAATTTTCAGCCACCTAAAAAGTATGCCTCCCTATCAGCAGCAACGTGGATTAGGCATATTGACAAGGTCTAGGACCAGATCTGTTCCATTTATTTCAATTAATACCGGATTAGGGTTATTATTATATCAACAGAATCCCATCCACTAGATGAGGTTAGTCTGCAGTATTAACCACAACCATGCACTCCAGGATCCCAGACCCTAATTGAATAAGTCCCAGTGAGGACTAGCGGGTCTTATTTCAGATACCATCTAGCTTCTTTTCTTATGACATGCATGGATTGCACCACCATATTGTGGGTATTAATCCAAACACAACAGGAGTTGTGGCAGTTGGCAACCATGCAAATCCTCCCTATTCAGCCAGAATCAATGATCCACTTACAGTCAGCCAGTTCAGACTGACCTGCTGATCTTCTGTGGTTTACTGCATCTCATTGGCTATGGTAGCTAAAGAAAAATAGGATCCTGATCTGTCTCCAGAATGTGGACTTTGATGCCCAGCAACAGTATTCACACTGTTGTTTGGAAACAGAAAACCATGTACCCCTTGGGTAGGAAATCCCTCTTTACCTAGGGGCCCATCATTCTCTTCTTCGGGAGCCCCTGTTTTAGCAGGCATAAATAACCATGTTGCCTTATGATTGAGTCCCATTTGGAGGGGGTTGGTTTTCCCATCCTGGTCTTCGTTTTGGATCGCAGAGATTTTATCTGGCTTAGGGAGTTCTGTCTTTGTCCTGGGCATTTCCTGGCCCTAAATCAACATAGCTGCCAGTATAGGATCTCCCAGCAAGAAAGGTAGTGGACTCCTCCACCTTGCAGTGAGGAAAGCAATCTTAAAAACTCATCCATCATGCTCTGGATGAAGAGTCATTGTAGGGACTGTCATTCAATCCAGGACAAACGAGGGTAGCTTCAGCCCTCAGGCTTTGAGTAGCTTCCTCCATGGGATTTTATTGTGCTCAAGAAAATCTTCTTGGATTGGCCACAATGTCATTACTGAGACAGAAATCCAGAGTAGCAAACCTCACTGTGGGGTATGATTCTGTCCCAGTGAAATAATTTGCAGTAGTTTAATGCTTGGGATCTCAAGTGAGACAGCAGCCTTGGTGCTGGTGTTGATGTTATAAGGACATAACCTTCCCTGCTTCTTCATCATGCGAATACAGCAGCCAAATGTCTAACAGCTCCTTTCTTTGTTGGTCAAAGTATCCCTGAACTTCTTTCCTTTCTCTCACACTATGGATCTGCATCTTGGTACTCTCTATGGGGACATATTACCCTCCAGATGTATCCAGTTGTGACTTAAAACTTAGTGCAGCTATGCTTTCCTCCATAGTGGAGCCCAGAGTGTCCTCCTAGTCCACCAGTCCACAGGTGAGCAAACAGCAACCTGGTGTGTTAGATTTTACCCCCACCTCTCAGCCTCTGTCTATTGACTTAACCCTTGTTCATCAGCAGACAGGAGAGATATCAACAGGTGGACCACTCACTGCCTGCCTTCTGCACCACTTGAGCCAGATATTTGCTACCAGACCCATGGAGCTTACAAATGTCCCTGAACCCAGCTTGTGAGTCATTCACTCTTTTCTTCCAAAAAGTTGTCTGTCCTGGGACCCTGTACATTGTGCCATTTTGCCTGAGAAGAATCTCAAACTCATAGAAGATGGCAAGAGTAACAAGACTCCAGAGGAGGTGACCAAGCAAGCAGGGTGTTTTGCCACAACTCTGCTGGGGCCGAAATAGACAAAAAACACTCAGTTTATTACTCACAGCAAACAGTAGAGACTTTAGCGTGACAGTGCCAGGTCCCTAGCTCCCAAATCCCCCACAAGGTGACTCAATGGGACCAGGTGGTGGCTACACACACAATAGGTTGTACCACTGCTGGGGAACCCAGAACTTAAGTCTTAGCACCTGGGGGAGCAATAACCAAGCTTTTCCCAGGAGCAAGCAGTCAGAGAGTGGCCAAGGCCTGTGCCTGTTTAATTGCCATTGTGACTCGTACAGAAATGATCAGAGTCAGAGGACGACCAGGCCTTGCAGTTTGGCAGAGTCAGCATGGCATGCAGGGACGCTCCTGGCCCCTGGTAAACTGCTTCTCCCAACAGTGACAGGGATCTGATCTAGTCCTTATTCTCAGCAAGCACACACTGAAATATGTAGGGGTAAAGGACTGACTCAACATCAAATGATTCAAAAAGATGATCATGATGATGTGTGTATGTGTGTGTGTGTAGGAGAGAGAGGAAAAACAGAGAAAGCAAATGGTGAAGCAAATGATAAAGCAAATTTACCAAAATAAACTTAAAAAAGATCTTGCATCTCTTTACATTTATTATACAAACACCCCTTTACTCTCACCAAATTATAACTGTGGTAACAACAATTATTTGTTAATCACAAAACTTGTTCTATTTCCACAGTCTTCCTCCCTTATTTGAAAATATCTAGCCACATTTCCATGTGTCTGAACAAACGTTATGCGACTGCTGAACATACTGCTAGCTTTACCCTGGGGGCGGGGTGGGGTGCACTTTGAATCAGTTACTACTGGAAAAAAAGAATCCATTAATTTTGAGAACTGGTGAAAATAAAAATCTCTTTATCTAGAAATAACAAGCATAAGAAGTATTGCCAAAAAAGTGTTGCTTTTCTTTTGAAAAGTTGGCCAAGTCATAGATGAATTGAGGACAAGCAGGCAGAACAAGATAAGGGTAAAGAACAAAGGGAAAGGGCCGGGTGTGGTGGCTCACGCCTGTAATCCTAGCACTCTGGGAGACCTAGGCAGGTGGATTACTTGAGGTCAGGAGTTCGAAACCAGCCTGAGCAAGAGCAAGTCCCCGTCTCTACTATAAATAGGAAAAAATTAATTGGCTAACTAATATATAGAGAGAAAATCAGCCAGGCATGGTGGCGCACGCCTGTAGTCCCAGCTACTCGGGAGGCTGAGGCAGCAGGATTGCTTGAGCCCAGGAGTTTGAGGTTGCTGTGAGCTAGGCTGACGCCACAGCACTCACTCAGCCTGGGCAACAAAGTGAGACTCTGTCTCAAAAAAAAAGAACAAAGGGAGAGAATGAGTTTGGTTAAAATGTATTCTGTCAAGGAAATCAATCTTAACTATAGGGACTATATATAATTCTTCAGTAGTGCACACAAATGCAAGAGTATATTCATAATGACTCAAGAGATTATTCATGATTACCAAGGATATTAATTAACATCTCGACATTTAGGAAAAACTGAAGATTGCAGGTGAAATTATACACGAAGGTCCTTGATACGGTTCTTACAAACAGAAGATCTCAATACACATGTGCTGCCACCAAATGTGACATGCTCACTGTCTTTGCTCTTTCTCTCCTTTCAGCTAGAAAATCTGGAAGCTGAAACTGCTCCATTGCCCTAACTGGGTCTCGTGCCATTTAGACCCTCACCAAGTTTAAGAGCCACCATCTGTGTGAAGCAGGTCGCTGCAAGAATGTGTGGGAGGCTCTAGTTCCCTAGGAAAGTGCCTGCTTTGGAATCATCAAAACTCTCTGGCCACCCAACTCTGAACAGCGGAGGGACATCTAAACCAAGTCGAGCATTTGGAAGGAAAGGAATATACCACGCTAAGGAGCCCAGCTTGTGTCACGAGGAAGACCCCCAGTGGGACCAACACACACCATGGTATGTGAATTGAGGTCATCATAGAAGGTAACCCTTCTGTATGTAATAGTTTGTTTTCAAGCAAATATTTATGACCTCCTCAAAGACAAACCACCAATTGTTAAATTCACCATAGTAACATGTAAATGCTACCTCTGATCAAAGTCCCTTGTGTGATAAGTCCAAGTCTTTCTAGTGTTTTGTAAAGGAATATATTCTTCTATTTTTGATCTTTAATGTTCACCTTAAAATTATCATCTGGTAAAGACATCATTTCCACCTCCATGTCTTGGTTTTGTATTGTTTCAATGAATAACATCTCTCTTACCTTGCTCCATAATTATAAGGGAAGAGATGAATGTGAAAGGTAACCTGAAACTCAGTCACATGTCAGCTGCAGAAAGGTTGATTCTTGTGCACCGCAGATACTTCCTAAGTCAGAATGGGGGATTTTCCATTGTTAGGCTTTCAGTGGTTTGCTCTCCAGTTTTAGATGTGCAAATTCCCTTGCTCCTATCTAAGTGTTCACAAGAGAGAATAGTCAGCCAATGAGCTCATCACTTCATCCACACAGGAAGTCAAGAATTAAAATGTGCTCTCCATTTCTCACTAGCTTCTCCATACTGCATGTTCCCTACACATTTTATTTCCTTTTTTAACTCAACTCAGAATATTCATGCCTTTTAAATCAGCATGATAAAATGACAAAGGTTTTTCTGATTGCCAGAACCATTTAAACTTGAAAAAAAAAGGAACCAATAAACTTAATCTCAAGACAGAAAGACTCCAATGACCGTATAGAAATATGTGTGATCTACTTTTCAATCCTGTGTAGTTACTTGGACATGAAACATTAACAATTGCCCAGAAATATTTCCTTGAAGATTGCATTTATATAATGTCATCACCAATATTTTAGTCTTTTTGATCTCTGCTAAATGTCAAGATTTCCTTTGTAAAGTGTCAATCTTCTAAGTAGTTTCTCTGAGACAATTTTCCTCTCTGACTGGGTTTCTTTGTTATGAAATACTGTAGAGATTTGGCAATCACCAATTTTATGTAATCTAGGTAGACAGCCAAGTCAGAGGGTCCATGCCAAGAAGCTCTCCACTTTGAACTTTTGTCGGCACTGATTAAATGAATCAAATATATTTTAGTTATGTATGAAGATACAAGTAGAAAACAGGGTGCTGGCTTCTCTTGTGAGAATAGCTGAGTCTACAAGCCACGGGCATACTCAACTGTAACATTCATATCCCTTCATCAATTTAACAAGGCACAAATATTCACCAGACATCTAAGAGCAATGTTTCTGGAAGACAGCTGAATAACTGAATTTACTGTCTTCAGATCCACTGGCTGTACTTATGTGGGCCCAACCCATGTATCCATTAGATGAGAGAAGAAAAAAAAGCCAAGACAAGTATTTTAATGTTTCCTTCTGATGAAGTCTCATATTTGTTTCTAACAATCTCTCTTTCTCAAATATTGTGTTCCAGAATAAATGTGCATTATGCATAATTTTTTAATATTTTCTGATCAAAATAATTAAAACCAGGACCTTAAAAGGATTTAGAATGTTAAATGAATGTATTTGTGTGTGTATATTTACACAAATACACTACTAGAGCTTCCATAATTAAAATGGATAATTCAAATGGGACACAATAAGGGAGAATGAAATATTTGTATACAAGTCAATGGGGAGGAAAATTCTTGCTTTTAATGGACTATAATGACATGAGTTCTCTCAAAGGACAACATAGTACTGCTTTGGCTCATAGGGCTGTTTTTCAACTGTCATTGTTTCTGCATAATGACAAGCTCTTAAGGTTAATTACCTGCCATGCTGTTGAGAGCAACTTAGTCTTCATGCAGGACTTGATCAATCTTTTCCTACAAATGTCATGTGTGTGAGCAAGGCTCTTCCATGCCATCTTTTAGACTCTACATAGAATACACAATGAAGGGGTTAATTTAAAAAATAAGATATTCTAAAGTAAATAAAAAAATAAGTGTGTTGTCAATATTTTTCACTCAAAACCATTTTTTATTGTAAATTCACAACTACCTTGTGATTCCAAGGCAAATAGAGACATAACACCCCTGACTCAGTTGGATGGGCTAATGTTTCTGGTGAAAACTGAAGATGAAGAAAGTGATGTGTTCTGCTTTGTTCTTCCTTCTTATTTCACCCTTGCCTTTATGGGTGGGATTTCTTCCTGGTTTGCCAGCCCAGGGATGCAGTCTATAGATGTGAAGTGGAAGATGTGCTTTCTCATCTGATCACTTGCTATGGAAATTCTAGTTTACTCTGTCCTAAGTAGTCAGTGGTCTCTTCCCCTTCACTGTGTACCCTCACTATTAGTTTGCACCTGCATCCTTCTCTCCTTGCCAATCACTAGAAAGGAAAGAGACTCAGCTGGGCAGGAGAGGGTCCCCAGGACCCTGAGCTTAATGGCCCTGAAGGTGGGCCCCTCAGCAGGGGATTTGATCACTTCTTAACTATTTGATGATGTCAAATAAAAGAGTTCAATGAAGAGACTAAAATTTGAGCTTCAAGGTCATACAGACCCATGTCTGAATATACTTCGTGAAATTTTTTTGCTTTGTAGTTTAGGGCAACACAGTTAAGCTCCCCTAGCTCCATTCTTCTCCTGAAACTGTGGATGACAACAGCAACCTTATTGGGTTGTGGTCAAGATCAAGTGAGATCATGTATATACACAGCTTGGCTACCTGATAGCAAATGTTTCCTATTTGTAGTGAAAATTATAAATGAAAACTATCAACATCAAAACAACAATGCAGGAAACTTGGAGAATTCACTAGGAACCACCTCTGACCACCTTTGGCACAAGACCCTGAGAGGTGGGTGACTCCTTGAGAAGGCAGGAAGCACCCATGGGAGGCTTCTATGATAGAATGTCATTCCAACGGGGCCATCAGAAGAGGCAAGACTCTAAAATCTGGCCATTTGAAACACTTCTCAACATTGAAATAGTTGGCAGTTTTAAAATAAACTCTTCTAAAAAATGCCTTTGTGTAGTTAAGAGGATATTCATTTCCTCAGACAATATGACTTGTGTTGATAAAACCAGTATTCATACACTTGCAAATTTCTTTATAGAAAAAAGTGCACTTTAGCTCATTTAATATCACCTAAAAGATGCTAACAAAATTCTGTTTCCAGAGTTATCATACCATGCCCTTTACACCTCAGGATCCAGGCAAAAGTTGAAATTTGGAAGCACAGATACAAAGCCTAGGAGAAAAATGTAACTAAGGTACAAGGAAAGTACTTCCAAAAAGATTTTTTCTGACCACATTTATCCTGAAGCCCCCCAAAGAATTCAAAGTCCTTACTTAAGTATATTCTATGTTTGAAAGCTAAAAACAAGGTCTTTTTGGTAATGCTTGCATGAAATATTTCATTTCATTTAAAATGTGTGAAAATTATGTGCACTGCATCTCTTATATAATAAAGATAATTAATTTATACAGACATATTCTGTGTCTACTGGCAATTACCAAGATGAGATGGCCCACTAGAGATTTTTCCAGCTTCAGCCATGAATATTTCAGAAGCTGACACTATCCCTTCTGGATAGTTCTAGCTAACGCAACGCAAGGATAGGACACAGTAGCCTCTCAACAAGCCACACCTGCCCTAGCTATGGTTGTGCCATTCATGAGGTGGATCATAACCTTGGAACTGTTGCTGGAGGAAATACAATTCTCTTCAAAGAAATATCCACCAACAGAAAATGAGTTTTTTGAGGACTTCTTACTGCCATTGTAGAAACATCAAGATTCTTGCCAACATTCTCAGCATAATTCTTTTCTCGTGGGGCAGATTGCTTGGGCTTGGGGAAAAAGTGAGAACAACCATGAAACTTCATGAATAACTGGGCCACTGCACCCCTAACCACTGTGTTTTTTCCAGTTTGAGATGGTTCAGGATCCACAATCATAGGTACCTAGATTGCATCTAAGACCACTGTCATTAGAATCTAAAGCAAAAGTCAATTAAAAGGTCCAATTCTGGGACATTCATCCAAGAGCCAGTTGAATTTAACTAGAAATAATAAGCTCCAGTGGCACAATTGGTTAGCGCGCGGTACTTACATGAATTTAACTAGAAATAATTTCAACTCAGAGTCATTATTCTCCATTGTCATAAAAAATATGAAAAGTGCAAGGAATAATGTGTGTTACTAAATGTTCAAGAAGTAAGCAAAACCAAATGCCAATAGCTTCTTGCACTACAGTGTGTGGCAAATGTCCAAGCTCCTATCATGTAACACCATGGCATTTCCTAAAGGAGTAGGCAGATGGGTCAAGTTCAATTTAATTCAAATGATATTATTGTGTCCTAGGGACTTGATTTACAAATGTAAAGACCGTTTACACTGAGATTTCAGGGTATGAAAAGAAAGTTGAGGGTGGATTGAAATTGCTTTTGTAACAAGGTACTTTTCAAACAACATTGAATAAATGCTGCATATGCATTTTAAAGGAATTTTAAGAGCTCAGACATCATTAAAATTAAACATATCAATCCTGGAAAGCACCTCCTTACTCAAATATATGAAAAGATGATTCTAGATTCTGGGCAGAGAGTCAGAGAAAGATCGATTTTCTGGGGGTTCTTCCAGTCACACATTTAATACAAATTTAATAATACACTTTTTCAACTCACTTTGCATTTTCTATAAGCTTGAACTAAAATGAGAACATCATTAAAATCTGTATTCAAAATTGCACTGAAACTCTACAAAATTACAGAGGAAGTTGGGAGAGTTCCTTCTTCCTCTGCACTTTGAGAGTGCTTCAAGTTTGCATTTCAGAGCCAACTCACCTGGAAAGTAAGGTTTACAGCCCTAATATCCTAAGTTCCAGACCCCATACCTAGGAAAAACAGTCATATAATCTACTGTGGCACAAGGGGTGAGCTCCTCCTTTTTCTCTCAACTTCCAGAAACTTAGTAAGCCTGTGATCCATTTGCATCCAAATGAACTTCATATACTTTCAACTAAAATAAAACTCTATTGCAGTAGATTAAGATGTTCCTTGAACATAACACTAGGTCTGAGGCCATGCGGAAGGTTGATTATTTATTTGGGGAAAGCAAGTTAAGAACCAAGTGGAACAATAAAGGGAAAGGGAAGAAGGCAAGAGCTTACTCATTTTGATCATTCTATCATTGGAATTATTTGGCAACATACCTTGCTGCCATTCAGAGAAAAGTAGTTTGCCTTACTACTCTTTACCCAAAGAAATTATCTCTCAGAAGTACTCATTTTGTAGAACAGACAGCAATCTCGACAAAGTTGTAAAGATTCTACAGAATCTATCAAATCAGAAACAGAACCTACCAAAGGCAACAGCTGAGCAGCTACTCTAGATGGTTTTAGAGCTCTGGGTTTCAGGAACACTTCTGTCCTTATGGGAACAGCACAAAACTATACCATTTCTTTGTTAGT